CGGTAGTGAAAAGATATGGGTCTGGTTCTTTCAATGACTAAACAAGATTCGGCAATATTTTCTTCATATCTGGCGCTGTCAGGGTCAAGGTAATATCAAATAGTTTACACCATTCGAGCATTATCAAAAACAACTATCTTTCGCTAAACACAGGAGCTAAACAATCCGTTAACCCAGCTAACCAGCCAATGAGCCAACCAGCTAACCAGCCAACCAGCCAACCAGCCAACCAGCTAACCAGCCAACGAGCCAACCAGCCAACCAGCCAACCAGCTAACCAGCCAACGAGGAAGAAAAAAGTAATTTCCATATCAATCTAATTACAATTACGATTTCGTGACTTGTTTTTCCTTCTCTTTTGTACGTTAAATAAAAATATCAGGAAAAAATGAAATTGCAATCTAATTCTAAATTAATTGAATTCAAATAGACTTATTCATGGATATTATTCTAGAGGAAAGTCCGATTGGAGCTCGTTACCGTTTCTCGAAATATCGTAGTTTAACGTACGAGCGTAAACGTTATCAATTAACGTCTAAAATAACGTTTTTCTTCGCCTAACGTACAAGTTTAATCGTACGAATCTTTCAGAATTCTGATTTCACTTACAAGTTTTCATGAGAAATATTGACATCGTGTGTATATGATTTTTTTTACCTCAAGACTTTTGACAAAACCCATAAACCGAATAAAATATTTCTTGGTATAACACCACAAAGAGGGGTACGAATTCTGTCTAACCTTGGGTGTGAAAAAATTCGGTTCCATTCGGTCCAGCTTTACATTATATAAACCAAACTCCATTCGTCCTAAACTGATATCTCTAGGGCAGGCTGTAATGTTGACCCCATCATCACTGATAACAACACTAATATGGTCTGGTTTCCATTTATGACAGGTTTTAGGGGCGGATAACTTCGTCGCTGGTCGTTTTTTACCTGAAATTTTCATTTTTGTTAAATATGGTGAAACATTATTGTAGTTCCTAGGCTCATTGTGTTCAAAAACCATCTTACCATCAAGTGTTATTTGTCGCTGAAAACTTTCACACTTCAACACATTTTCTTTAGATTGAGAATAGTAGTCAATATTACTTGATAGTTTTCAGCTTGACAAATCTGTTCTATCGTAACAAAAATTTTGAAAAATATCCTGCACAATATGGAGATGGTTTGAAGCAACTTGAAATTGCTATATTCATTGGCTTTGATGATTTTAAGTACAATATAATGGCAAAAGTTTATGGAATAGCAAGCACTGATTAATGTTTTATACAACGTTTCGAACTGTTTCTCCAATCGTCCTGTGTTATATCAACCAATACAGATATAACTATTAAAATGACACGCCTAGACTTGATATATCATACCTCTTTTCTTTGTGAATTTATACTTTATACTTTTCACCACAGTAGTTGGTTGGTGTTTAGAGTTGGATTCTTTCATGATGACAATTTTCCCATTTCTACCGAGTAATTTCTTGACACAGTTGAGCTGGATATTTTTCTGTTGAATTAAAATGTAGAAAAGCTCAATTATCAAAATAACAAAAATATACAGTAGTTGAAAGGATAAGAAACAAACTGCGTATTATATAACAGTGCGCATAATAAACGGAAATATATGTTATGAGATAATTAAAAACAAAAGCCCATTCTAAAGAAAACAAATTCAAATGGAAAATTTAAAAAGCACAAGGGGTTATCAGCTGGTAAAATGAGTTTTATGAAGGCTTTCTGTGAGTTCTAATCTCGAGCGTCCAGTGAAAATCCGATGACCTCAATAAGTCATTTTTCCCCATTTTTCAGTCTACTCAGATAAAAATATTTATTCAGGGGAGCAATCCACGTTTTCGAGTGGGGGAGAAGAATATGGGGCATGCCTCCCTTGCTGTTCTTGTAGGTACGGGCCAGATAAAGCAAAATACTTACATGTAGTTTATCACTCTTTTGAACCGAAATTCTGACACAATAGTTCTTAGATCGTCTATTTAGTTTATTAGGTATGACTTGGAGTAGATAAGCCTCATCATCATAGTAATCTGTATCATCGTCATTGGTCCAGGTTAAATCTAATTTAGACGAGTGTGATGTCAGGGTATTGTAGGGTATCTTTATATTGGGTAAGGTACATCCTTAAATTATAGAATATATAATAGTCTATAACTACCTTAATAGCTAATTGATACAGATTGTACTGACAGTTAGTACCATTGATACAGATTGTACTGACAGTTAGTACCATTGATACAGATTGTACTGACAGTTAGTACCATTGATACAGATTGTACTGACAGTTAGTACCATTGATACAGATTGTACTGACAGTTAGTACCATTGATACAGATTGTACTGACAGTTAGTACCATTGATACAGATTGTACTGACAGTTAGTACCATTGATACAGATTGTACTGACAGTTAGTACCATTGATACAGATTGTACTGACAGTTAGTACCATTGATACAGATTGTACTGACAGTTAGTATCATTGATACAGATTGTACTGACAGTTAGTACCATTGATACAGATTGTACTGACAGTTAGTATCATTGATACAGATTGTACTGACAGTTAGTACCATTGATACAGATTGTACTGACACTTAGTATCATTGATACAGATTGTACTGACAGTTAGTACCATTGATACAGATTGTACTGACAGTTAGTATCATTGATACAGATTGTACTGACAGTTAGTACCATTGATACAGATTGTACTGACAGTTAGTATCATTGATACAGATTGTACTGACAGTTAGTACCATTGATACAGATTGTACTGACAGTTAGTACCACTGATACAGATTGTACTGACAGTTAGTACCATTGATACAGATTGTACTGACAGTTAGTACCATTGATACAGATTGTACTGACAGTTAGTACCATTGATACAGATTGTACTGACAGTTAGTACCATTGATACAGATTGTACTGACAGTTAGTACCTTTGATACAGATTGTACTGACAGTTAGTACCATTGATACAGATTGTACTGACAGTTAGTACCATTGATACAGATTGTACTGACAGTTAGTACCATTGATACAGATTGTACTGACAGTTAGTACCATTGATACAGATTGTACTGACAGTTAGTATCATTGATACAGATTGTACTGACAGTTAGTACCATTGATACAGATTGTACTGACAGTTAGTATCATTGATACAGATTGTACTGACAGTTAGTACCATTGATACAGATTGTACTGACAGTTAGTATCATTGATACAGATTGTACTGACAGTTAGTACCATTGATACAGATTGTACTGACAGTTAGTACCATTGATACAGATTGTACTGACAGTTAGTACCATTGATACAGATAGTACTGACAATGTTTAAATGCCTTGGTCGTCGCGACTAGTCTGTTTAAAATGCAGACCTGGATATTTTGTGTCTTTCTTGTTAATTCACTTGTTCCACAGAGAGAAATGAAATCTTCACAATGGTTGGAATATGAAAATCTATTTTGATTATTTCGTTTGCACTTACGTTTTAATGGCTTTATCGATATACCCGCTATCTTCTGAAATAGAACAAGATTATCTAGAGCAGGGGTTTTCAACCTGGGGTAATTACATGTACCTCATAAGGAGTAATTTTGAACTCTTTCGGGGGTAATCGGTGATGAAATCGTTCTATTCAGTCATGCTTTATTCTCTGACATGAAAAAGATTGCATTTAAAAAGAAAATCACGAAATAAAACGGATTTATAAGGGAAAGCATGTTAACAATGGTGTACAACGTTATGCAATCGATCAAAGACACTGAAAGGGGTAATCGGAAGAAAAACGTTGTTTTAGACATTAGTGCATATCGTTGAAATAACACAAATAGGGTCTAGTCGACACGAGTTGTTTCTTTATAGGATGATGTGGTCTTTATATCCACCCCAAGTTTACAGACTCATGTAATGTATTTAATTTCCCACCGAAAAACCTCAAAATCAACCATGCGTAGCAATGTTTACATTTGAAATTCGACATGTGGTGTGACTGCATTTATTGATATATAATATATCGACGGAGTGACAATAAAAAGGGAGAAAATACAAAAACAAAAACAAAAACAAAACAATGAAAACTTTTCATACTTTGGCTTGCTGACAATCTCTTTTCGTTTTAGTGATGCAAACATTTTTAATAGATTTTAGAGTTATTTTTCGTATCGTTTGTTGAGTCAAGTTGCGAATGTATTTATTTTATTATCTGTTTAAATGTTTCAATGAGGTCAGTAAATCACAAAATCACATTTATGAAGGATATGAAAAGTTAAAGGCCCAGTCTGTCGTTTTCCTTATAAAAATCAAAAATTGTATGTGTGAGAGATTACATGCGAGATACCCCAGTTTTCACACAAGAATATAAAATATATTGTGATTGAAATAAAAAAAAAAAAAAAGATTGTTTTTAAAAGCGAAGATTAAAATTTTCTTCCATTCATAATTCATACATCTGGTGTTGCGTGGTTTCTGTTCCACCATTTTCCCCACAATGCATCATTCTAATCAACAAGCATCATTTCCAGCTATTTTTGAACTGTTTTCAGACCTTAAAGGTCTAATTATTATTGGAAGTTGAAGTGGTAATCTACTTGACACGCTTTGATTGCTTAAATATAACGTAATTAGAACGGGACTGTGGTAGAAAAAGACATAAGACTCGAAATTTTCATCTTATTTAGATTTGCCTTCCCACTGCCCCTTTAAATCTTTCGTTATGTAATTATTTTTATGTTTCAAATCAAAATTTTGAGAAACTCGAGCCCGGAATAAACAGGTCAGGGCCTCGGGATGGAAATGAATATTAGGAGCTAAGAAGACAAAATCAAATGGATAGAGTCTTACGATCTGTTTTTCTGCATCTTAACGGGAAATGAAAGCGGGCAACGCCATACAGGGTACTATGAGTAAATTTGGCCAGGACAGCAGCATTAACATGCTCTTTTTCCATTTCGTTTACGTACACAGCCTGTAGCACACGGGGCCTCGGTTTATTGTCTCATCCGCACGACAGCCTGTACCACAAGGGGCCTCGGTTTATTGTATCATCTGCACGACAGCCTGTAGCACACGGGGCCTCGGTTTATTGCCCCATCCGCACGACAGCCTGCAGCACACGGGGCCTCGGTTTATTGTCTCATCCGCACGACAGCCTGTACCACACGGGGCCTCGGTTTATTGCCTCATCCGCACGACAGCCTGTACCACACGGGGCCTCGGTTTATTGCCTCATCCGCACGACAGCCTGTGCCACACGGGGTCTCGGTTTATTGCCTCATCCGCACGACAGCCTGTACCACACGGGGCCTCGGTTTATTGTCTCATCCGCACGACAGCCTGTGGAGAGGAGGAGAGACGGGGGTGTGGGGAGGAGGAGAGGAGACGGGAGTGTGGTTCGGAGAGTAGACGGGGGTGTGGAGAGGAGGAGATGAGACGGGGTGTGGAGAGGAGGAGAGGAGACGGGGGTGTGGAGAGGAGGAGAGGAGACGTGGGTGTGGGGAAGTGGGCTGAAAAGGTTTCTTGCAATTCAAATCACCCTCATGATATCACAAATTTAAGAAACGAAACAGCTCACTACATTCACGTGTCCCTTGAAACCAACTTAACAAATTTTGTTGATAAATTTTGTTAAAGGGACAGGGGTGGATTCGGGACGTAAATGGTCCTCAGAAGTATATTAGAAATGTTCGAAATCAAAAATACCTCTAACTAGGAATTTCACTTTCTATTGTCTTTTCTATATGGGCTTACAACACAGTCTTAAGAAAAGACGAGTCGCCTTTTTAACTTTCTAACACAGATAATTCTGGACACAACTGGTGAGGTTGCGACGGTGAGGTGTAAACACTATTACGGATTTGCTTAGCTAAAAAATTACCGTTTCTGAGATTAAGGTTTAATTGGTGAAACAGATAGCGATTATATCCCTTTTAGGCATAAGATTACAAAGTGTGATACAAAATATATAATAGCTTAATTCATGCATGAGCGACAGATTTAAATCCGTAATTCAAAAAGAAACAAAACACGGTTATGGGTTAAGGTAACGCGGTTAGAATTGTAGATTTACGATGTTCGTTTGAATATGACACTTTGATTGACTTGTCGAGCTTTAATAATCACCTGCCTCTTAGACACCCATAAACACATTGGCGGTGCCGGACAAGGGGCACAGATATGGGGCAGAATGAACTATCGTTGGGGGGGGGGGGGGTTAGGGTTAGGGGGGGGGGGGGGGTCTTAAACTTGGGATTCAAAAA